CGTAAATTTTGTCTAACAGTGTACCTTGTGTCATTTCCTTAACTGTATTTACTAAAAGACTGTCCACGTTTGATAAGTCAATATAGTGGTCATTTCGGTAATAAACTATTAACTCATCTGCCTTATATTTTAGATTCTGCAACTCTATTATTAATTCACTTACCGAATTTACTTTTAAGTTGGCTATCATCCTATATATATTGTGTGGTTCCACGTTCGGTCTATACCTTAGTTTTAAAGTCTCTTTGATTAGTTGCCAGTTGTCCGGTGTGGGTATGTTTATTATGACGTCTTTAGCTTGTCCCTGGATTATTTTATAGAATATTGTTCTTATGGCCTCCTTCTTAATATTTTCATCTTGTATAGTTGACAGCAAGTATTCAGTGCTACTAAAAAAGCTGTTCACCGTTACTTCTCCGGTGCCGGTGAAAATGGGTAGATGATTTATCGTTTTTAAAATGTTGTCTTTTGCATTATTTGATTGTGTATCATATAACACCGGGTTACGCTGTTGTTGTTGTAGTTCTTGTGTTTGCTGTTGCAATTCTAGATATGCTTGGCGTAACCGTTCCAATTGTTGATCCTTTCTGGCTAGTTCTTCTGCCACATTTACGGATGCGATGTGAGCTTGTTCCTCCATTCTTCTTCGTTTGTCGAAGACTTTTTGCCTTTGCGAATACACTTTTAAAAGAAAAAAAAAAGGATTGACTTCCTTTATCTAGTGGTGTCCACTTAACTTAAATGTTCACTGCACTATTGTTTATTTTAGTGGTGTTCAATTTTTTGAATTATTCACTGCACTATTGTTTATTTTAGTGGTGTTCAATTTTTTTTGAATTATTCACTGCACTATTGTTTATTTTAGTGGTGTTTAATTTTTTGAATTATTCACTGCACTATTGTTTATTTTATAATCCTGGAGGGTCCCGTAGGATTCGCAGAATTTATTTAATTATTTATAATTTAGGTACGTTTCACTGGATCCTTTTTAATTCCTAAAGGATCCTACCGACTGCGCCAATTAGATAACCTGATTAATTATGTTTATTAAAAAAAAAAAAAATTGTTTTCTTTTTTTTTTTCTTTCTTTTATTTATTTATTCGTCGACTTGCGACTAAGAGGATGGAACTAAGACTAACTTTTACATTTTTAATTTACTTATTCTACAGGTATTATTTGTTAATTAATTATTGCAGTGTTAGCATAAGTTTATTTTAAATGAAATTTGATTAACACACTTTTGTAAATAATTGTATACTCAGCTCCAGACAGTTTTAACTGGAAAAATAAAATAAAGTCAAACTAAAGAATGTCAAATTCACTTATGCTTACAGTGCAATAATTGTACACGTTTTATTGGCTAATTGTTTCCAAGAACTTATCAATTTTATCAGGGGTAGTATGATTATACGTAACTCGTGCTGAGTTCTGTTGGAATGTCCAAGGCCTGTGGCCAAAATATTTGCGTGTCCAAGGCTTTATTATATCTACAGAATATGTTCGCGATAATATTCGGCATTTATTCTGATGCCACGGTCGATTAATACGAGCGGAGAAAACGGATATTGGGTGAGGGTATACAGGGTGAGATAAAAAAAAACTGCATGCAAATTCAGACTGCTCTTATTTCCAAGTTATTCGAGATGGAATTCATGCGTGATAATGTGATTTCCTAATATTTGGCTGGAAAACCGAAATATGCTATCGTTAGAGCACTCCAGCATTTCTATGGGAAAAAAAATTTTGTGCCTCGTACCATCGCTCATTACCTAGTAGCGTAGCCCGACGTCAAGGAAGTGGACGGAAGAAAAGCAACATCAGCAGAAATGGTTCGAAAAGTAAAGAAGCTACTTGATCGAAATCCGCGTCCATGTGGCCGAAAAATGGCTCATAAGCTGGGGGTGTATTAAAGCCTTGGGCACGCAAACATTTTGGCCGCAGAACTTGGACATTTACACACGACTCAGCATCTCGCTTCATTTCCAGCACACAATGGCCACCAATATCTCCGGATACCAATCCGTTGGACTTTTGTGTCTGGAGTATTTTGGACAGCAAGGTTGGCACTAAAAAATACCAAAGTGTCGATCACCTCAATCATGCGCTTCGCCGGTAAAGGGCCGAAATACCTTAGAGCAACATTCGGGCAGCGTGTGACGGTTTCATTGCCAAAGGTGACCAATTCGAACAAATCAAAACTTATTTTGAAATTTGATGGTACTTTTGACATTTTTATACCCTCCACCAAAAAAAGTATGGAGGTTATATTAAGTTCGTCATTCCGTTTGTAACTCATCGAAATAATCATTTTAGACCCAACAAAGTATATATATTCTTGATCAGCGTAAAATTCTAAGACGATTTAGCCATGTCCGTCCGTCTGTTGTAATCACGCTACAGTCTAAACGAATTAAGATGGGAAGCTAAAATTTTGCACAGATCTCTCTTTTGTCTGCAGGCAGGTCAAGTTCGAAGATGGGCTATATCGGTCCACGATATCGTATAGCCCCCATATAACGGTACCCCCGATATTCGGTATTTTGATGATTTTAGCCACATTTTTCAATGGAATTGTCTGAAAATCCGCACAAGTAGTTCCTTGTGGGTACTTTACCCCCTGAGAGAGAAATGTCTGTACAGGTCCACGATATCGTATATCCACCATATAACGGTACCCCACGATATTCGGTATTTTTATGATTTTACCCACATTTTTCATCGGAATTGTCTGAAAATCCACACAAGGAGTTCCTTGTGGGTACCTTATACCTCGGCAGAGAATTATCTATATAGGTCTACGATATCGTATAGCCCTCGTATAACGGTACCCCCGATATTCGGTATTTTGATGTTTTTAGCCATATTTTTCAACGGAATGGTCACAAGGGGTACTTTGTACACAAGTGGTTCTTTGTGAACACTTTACCCCCCGACAGAGAATTCTCTATATAGGTTAACGATAACGTATAGCTCCCATATAACGATACCCCGCGATATTCGGTATTTTGAAAATCCACACAAGGAGTTCCTTGTGAGTACTTTACACGCAGACATAGATTTGTCTTTATGGGTCCACAATATCGTATATCCCCCCATATCGGTTCCTTCCTATATTAGATATTTTAAAGATTTTAAAACAATTTTTAATGGATTTTATTTTTTTTGAAAATTTTCTAATTCGTTCCAAATGGTGGAGGGTATTCAAAGTTCGGCCCGGTCGAAATTACTGCTTTTTTACTTGTTTCTTTTAAAATAAAATGTAAAAATTATAGCGTTTGACTTTGTTTATTTTTATCTCACCCTGTATATATATATATATATATATATATATATATATATATATATATATATATATATATATATATATATATATATATATATATATATATATATATATGGGAGCTATAACCAAAACTCAATCTATTTCTATAATATTTGTCAGATTTTTTTCTACCAAATTTTGTACCTCTTTCCGAATTTCATTGGAATTGGACATACGTATCGCGTTTGGTACATCAAATACATGAAATTGAAATATGTATTTGAGCTATATCCAAATATGAACCGATTTCAATATAATTTGGCAAATTAACTTTTGTTTCAAATTCTGTTACCCATTCCAAATTTGGAGACTTTATTTTTAATCGATCAATATATATGTGCATATAAAATGTAAATTTTTGGGAGGTACCTACGATTCTGATGATATATCTCCAGTTCAAAGTGTATTTTCAAAAATATATATAGCCTATGTTACTTTCATGCGATGTTGTAGTATACTTGGAAATTTTCTGTTCAGCGGTTTTCGAGTCCATAAATTTCAAACATACAAAAATTTTCCTCTTTCATAGATATAGATAATTTTGTAGAATATTTTGAGCTCTACACTTCCAATTAAATTGATGTTTTAATTATTTTAAAAATATGATCAAAAATACCCTTTGTTGATTCACCTGGATTCAAAAATTTCCACCAAAATATTCCACGCATTTTTATCTGCAATATTGCCAAAGTCACTATATATATATTCCGAAAATCACCAAAGGTGTAGATGAGATGGAACTTGCCCCTCTATTTAGGTTTCTGTTTCTATCTTCCTTTTTAGCCTTCTTTCATAATCTGCTGGATTGTTTCCCGTAATTATTCGAAAAAGTGTAATTCATCCAACAATCAATATTTCAATTACCACTACAAGTACTGTGCATTCGAGTGTGTCTACCACAAATGTATTTTGTATGTCCGACCTTTTGATTGGTTCACGTTTCAAAACAAAACATTCGAAAATGTTCTACGAAAATATCAATGCCGTACTTAACAAAAATAGTCGCAGTTTTTCTCTCAAATGAATTTCGAGAATTATCTTACAAATTTTCTCAGAGAAAACTGGTTCGCCCTCCTAGGTTGTTGATGATTTTTCTAGATATCTGTACATATTAAAAAAAAGCACTGACATTGTGAAATTGTAGCCAAAACAAAATTCAACGATAACAAAATAAACCCCCCAACAAGAAAACATATTGTGTAGAAAACAGGAACAAAAGTAAATCGAAAGAAAACAAGATTAGCGGTGGTTAGCGAGTGTAGGCATGGGAACAAACAAAAATAGAATATAAACAAATCATAAAAACCAAATTTGTCGACCAAAAATTTGTGGGGTAAACGATAACAATGCCGAGAGTATTTGTTCCTCAGAGAGAGAGAGAGGGGGAGAAAAAATTAACGCAATTGCAAGTATTTTTTTCTTTGGCCTTACTATGCCACAATTTTATTAAATATTATTTAATTTCATAGATAAGATTTTTTGTTTAAATTATAGTGTAATTAGGTATCACATTAATTATTATAATAATAATGGAAAATAAAAATAATTCATGTTTTATGCGTTTGATTTTTTTTCATTATTGCTAGTTGTAAGCCAGAAAAAGAATATTTATTGGGGTTTTTAAATTTTTTAATATATTTTAAATAATAATATTAATCAAAAACAAAAAAGGGATGATTGTGAATTTCATATAATACTCAAACAATTTCGAATTGTAATTTATTTTAAGCAAAAACCAGATCAATTGACAATTGTGTTCATTTAAATGCTCAACAAAGAGTAGATAGATAATTATATGATTGTAGAGGGCTGATAACGACTAAGACCGGCAAGCTGTTAATTCCGTTTGATGTGGGGACCCTCCACTTTTTGTTGTTTGCTGTTGTTTATTCCTTTCCCCCTTTTCAAACTCTTTTGTTGTTACTAGATGGTGGTTTCTACATTGATGATGTTGTTTGAATTTTTGTTAAATCTCATTTATTAAATTTATTGCTTTTGCAAATATTCATCGAACAAGTAGACAGCCAATGAGGGGTCTTGTACGTTCATCAATTTGGACAAATCGTTGGCATAACCAGACAATTTGCGTACGGTCTCAGCTTGTTTGGTCAAGAAGTTCTCTTCAATGTAGTGGGCAATTTCGGGATCGCGTTCAGTGGAGTGGAGGGCACGGGTGTGAACATGCATGGCACCAGCACTCAAAGTCTTCTCGTTATCCAAAGCCATAGCCAAAGAGTGCAATTCATCGACTTCCATTTGCATGCGTACCTTGGAGACGGTGGCAGGGCTTTCGTGGACGGTGTTGAAGTTAACCTTACCACCACGGCTGGTCAATTTCTTGATCAAGGCAATGGTATCGTCGAAAGAACGATCGGACAAGCCTTGGTACAATTTCTGGAAGCCGGGACGATTCTTTTGGTAGTTGTTGAAGTAGGTGGCCAACAACAAGTAGTCATAGGATTTGGTCAATTGAGAGTTAACATAGGCCTGAACTTCGGGTTCAATGTGATCGATGCCACCCATGCGGGCATTGCAAACATTGGCACCTACAGAGAGAGAGAGGGAAAGAATAAAAAGCAAATTAAAATTAGAAATTATACAGTAACATAAACAACGAGGAGAGGATAGTGGGAAAAAGCTCTAAAATAAAAAATGCACTTTAATTAAAAAAACTCATGCGACAATTACTTTCAAATGCGACAGTTTTTTTTTTTTTTTTTGCTTGCCTTAGCAGAGATTCTTATCTTTCTAAATCGGGATCACCCTCAGATGTCAATTTTAATAAGCATAGCAAAACTGATTAGAAATTTGCTGATTTACGTTGTAGACACTTTTATGTTTTTGAAATGGGTTTGAAGGTTAATTGATGTTATTAACAATAATATTTTATAGTCGTTGTTGTATAACAGTTTTTCAAGAAAAACTACAATGTGGCGGATCCAAAGAAATTCATATTTGCAAAAAAAAAAAATATATAAAATATGGGAAACGAAATAATCTGTGTCGAAAACTGGCAATTGATATTAAAAACATATCTGGATCAAAACGTGATTTTTACTTTAGTATCAATCGTCATCTTACTGTTGCCTACCTCACGATACCGTTTGGGCCAGTGTCCACATCGGTGATAGAAAGGTTTTTTCAGAATTATTTCCCGGGGTGTCTAGCCAGATAATTATAGGATTTTCAACCTTTGTTTTGCTATTTTGATATGACTAGCATGCCATATTGATTTGAAAAATCGAACGAATGAGGGTAGATTTAGAATTTATGGGACCATTTCAGTTCGTATGTGACCGGTTTCATTCAGAAATTTGATTATTAGCAGTCAAAGGCCTCAATTTGATGTAAATAGCTTTTATTTGTTTATTCTAAAACCCTATGTGACATCGAATTCACTTCCGGGAATGCAGGTCGGCAAGAAGTTGATTTTTTCTAATAGAATATGTAAATAAGTACCACTGTGCTCACTCCGACTACTTCCCTATTAAATACTGCCTCCTGACACTTCCTACTGTTAAAAAAGTAATTGTCGCCAAACTACTCGGAACTCAAAAATAGATATGAATTCTAAACAAATGCTCTTACTTTCACTAGCAAACATTCCCGCAATTGCTTTGTGTTTTTCAATTTTTTTTTTCAGATTTTTAATGATAAAAAGAAATAGAATAAAAAAAGCAACCGGATATTTGTGGTTAAAAATGTTATAAAAATGTTACAGAGATAAAAATTTAACAGAGTATAGGAATGAAAACAACAACATAACAGAGGACTCTCTTGTTACAATTTACATCAATGTAATCAGCTAACATTTTGAGGAAATGTTAACTTTCTCACTCGTTGCTGTTGTTCACATTACATGCTACACCTAACATCCATAGCAATGTTATGTTAACAAAATTTCCATTATTTTTGATTTTCCAATATGAAAATCCTAACATAGCTAGGCTACTTGAATATGAATAAAAAAAAAAACAACAAAATACTTACCAGAGAGAGTGGAAGAGGCACAAGCTCTGACAACATTATTATGACAGACTTCCTCGGTTTTAACTACGGCGCAAATAGCGGCGAGCACAGCAATGGCAATCAACGACTTCATGTTGTTTCTCTCGTTTTTCTTTTTTCTTTGTATACAAGAAATCTATACAGACAAATGACAGAAAACAAAGAAAAAATATTTTAATTTTATTAACAAATCTTCACAACAATTCGATTAATTAAAACAATTTTCACTAATTAATTTCATATTATTACTTCGTTTAATGTTAACCTCTTGTGTTCTGTGTGCTTTCTTCAATGGAATACAATTTACGAATAATGATTTTTCTCTTGCGACAATTGCTTTTTAAACAGAAAATTATTAACAAGAAGAAATGCACACACCAGCAAGTTATTTTATCACATCAATTGTCCAAACTTTGTTGCAAAGCATCAAAGACGCAAAACACAAATCAAAACTTACTTATGTTTCTAATATTTTAATTCACAGATTATGAAATTTGATGTGTTGTTCTCCACACAACAATAGTTTGTTTTGCTTTTTTCTGTTGTCTGTTACTGACTCGTTGAGTTGACTTTTTCAAACTGCCTGTTTATACTTTGCCTGAATCGATACTTGTAGTTGCTTTGGTCCCCCATTTGGACGTTGCTGTTGTTTTGCACTCATTCACACTCTCTCACATTATCTTGCTCCATGCTCTCGCTCCCTTGCGCTCTATACAATATGGCGTCCATTGTTTTTGTTTTGGTTTGCTGTGCACACACCACTGACGGTAGGGTATCTACTTTAATTCAGAGTAGTAGTGATTCATACCGTTACAAAAAATTTCAGCATTGTTGTTGTTGGTGCTTTTTGTTTGTAGGGTTGTCGTTTGACAACGATAATCATATTACGTAGTTCTTTCGTACACACGATTTTTTTGTCAATCAATTGGTTTCAACATGATAAATTGATTCCCACTCTATAACGGTGATGGTATTTTCTAGAACATAGCAACAAGTGATAGACAAACGCAAAAAGAACAACTAAGCAAGAATAATGGCGTCTGCAATGTTGCTAGTTTGCAATTATGCATGTGATGAAAAAGTGCAAAATTGAAATGATGAAATTCATCACAGTTTATGGAAATGTCTGTTATCACAAAAAATTCACATGTTCTTTTTTTAATTAAATTACGAAGGCTGTCGAAACATGGACTTTAGGCTTGCTTTTGTAATTGGACTTAACTTTTTTTGACTTTATTTTGTAATATGACTAGGATGCTCTAATATGAAATATAAATAATATAATAAATATTACAATATCTCCCAATGGTCGGTATTTAGAAGATTCTAGTTACATTTTTTAAACGGAATCGTTTCAAATGTCGTATTTGAAGTTCGGAATCGGTACTACCATGGCATAATTACAGAAAATAGAACAAAGCAACCATATAAATACAATTGTTTTTCTTTGGTATTCTTATTCTTTCAAAACATATATACATTTTGTGTATGTGTGTGTATTGTTTTGAATAAAAACTAAAATAATTTTTTTGGTTGCAAAATAAATGCAAATTTTCGACGCAAATGGGTAACAAATTGTACAATTTTGTGATAAAACTATATTGTCCTACTATTTTAGATTCAATCTTGTGGAATAACCCCGAAATTCTATTCTTGTTTTATGAGTTTTTATCCAACATAAGAATTTTGCATGGTAGAGCTAAGAAGCTAAAATCATGTAATCATATTTTTTTAATTTATACATTTGACAACATCTCATTATCCAAATCTATATTAATAAATCCATTGTATACACACAAAATCAGAGATGGAAACGGTTTTTTATGCCTTTAAATTTGACAAGGTAAATTACAGAAAATGTAGAGCTGGGAATGCTTATTTGAAATGAGGTTACCTTTATTTCATTGCACCATGACATTTTGTTAAAACAAAATACAAATCAACAAAGCCAACTGTTTCATATAAAAAATCTACTTGACACTCCAACACAGAGTTGCATTTTTCTTGTTTCTTTGAAGATGAACAAGGAAATCTACATCGATGGTACAATTACGAAGGTAAAAGTACGTTTATATATATGAGGGTTAACCCACTGGATTTGGATTTAAATTGTCATATCCATTACTTTTACTTCAAATAAATCCTCTCAAAGTAGGTTAACCCTACAAAAAGTTCTAACGTAAACATGGCATAAAGTCATTTCAAATAAGCATATTCCTATTTGCATTTTCTGTACTTTACTTTGTCTAATTTCACTGAATAAAAAGCAGGTTCCCATCTTTGATATCTGTGTATACAATGGATTACATGTAAATTTGGACAATGAGGTGCTGTCAAATGAATAATTTAAAAAAATATTGGATAATATGTAATTGGATTTTACTGTTGATAGTTCTCTGCAGCATAAAATCTTAATATGTGCCACATTTTAGTGTAAAATATAAATTTACTTGCTCAGGCATTTAATGGGATCTAATAAGGAGGTAAAACGGGTACGTAAGACAACTCAAATACAGACCCAATGCCCAATTAAAAAATACGATGCAACAACTTGTTCTTATGTTTCTAATTATTTCTCTTCTTTTGTAATGGAATAAAGAGCGGGGGTATGATCCCAATTTTTATTGAATTTTTTTAATGCTTTTGAATAAAAATCTTGACTTGCATAACATGTATAAGGAAAAATAATAGTGTCTTTTTCCTCTAAACACACCAACAAAAAATGACATTTCTTGCAAAAACTATAAACGAATGGAGAAAATCAAATTTCTTTTCGCACGATCGAGTTTCAGTTGCATATTAAAACAGTGTATCGCAAATTTGAATTTTAATTGCAATTTATTCGAAATAAATTACCTTTTAATAATTTGGCTTAACGCCCTTAAATTGCAATATATACTCTTTCAGTATTGTTAGTTTTTGTGTAGCCCTTATATATTCTTATAAATTTACATTATATTAGTTCTAGAAATTATTAGCTAAAATATTTTTTCATAATTCTTATATAAGAAACTAAATTACCAGAAATTTGTCGAAAAGCGTAAATGGCGAAAATTAGTTTATGAAGCTTTATATTGCTATCATCAATGGATTTACAATAAATTTTATAATTTTTATTATATGGTATACTTTAAAGGAGTTTTTGGCATTAATCGACCGTGCCATCAGAATAAATTCCGAATATTCTGGAGGGTGTATTATAGCCTTGGGCACGCAAACATTTTGGCCGCAGACCTTGGACATTCAAACAGGACTCAGCACCATCGCACTCAGTACGTGCCAACCGAGAATGGTTACAAAATGAGGTTCCTCGCTTAATTTCCAGCGCACAATAGCCACCAAAATCTCTGGATACCAATCCGTTGGACTATTGTGTCTGGAGTATTCACATCACGCAAGCGCTTATCCGGGGATGGGCCAAAATACAGCAGAGCAACATTTGGGCAGCGTGTGACGGTTTCATTGGCCATTTGAAGGCCATAATTCGTGCCAAAGGTAACCAAATCTAGACTATTCTAAAATTTGATGCTATTTCCGCAATTTTTTGCATTCATTCAATGAAATTAGAAAAAAAATGTAAAAATTATGGCGTTTGTTTTAGTTGCAGTTTTTTTTATCTCACCCTGTATATATGTGCGAATTTGGAAGAAATTCGGGCATAAGTATGAATTATTGTCATTCTCTACATTATTGGACAATATACCACACATATTCAAAGTCAAAGTGTGATCGAAATATTGGGATGTGTGGTTTGGACTTAACAAGGTTGTCTCTGCGGGCCCACAGGCAGGCTGTGTTTTCTATATATTCTATTCAGCTATATCAATTTGTTATTAATTTTCTTAATTTTGTTCCCTTTTTGTTCAATTGTACAATCATGGTAGAATCAAGAAGGTAAAAAGTCACGCAATCATATGTTTAGAATTTTTCAAAATAAGTCTTTTGACAACATCTCATTGTCAAAATATATATTTATAAATTTATTGTAAGTACACAAATCAGAGATGGATACCTAGTTTTTATGCAGTGAAATTTGACAAAGTAAATTACAGGGAATGCTTATTTGAAATGACTTTACCTTCTTCATTTTAACATAGGTACAATCATGGTACAATGAAGACAAGGTAGGACATAGCAATCAATTGAATACATTTTTTTCAATAGGAAGTCTTGAAATGTCAAAACATGTATACAGTTTTGGTATGTATTCTTTTCCACAACTTTTGGGAAGAACAAATGTTTGCGCTTTGGATGAAAAGGAATTGAAATTGTATTAGAAACTCGATGTTGTGAAAATGCAAGGCATTTCTTTTGTATATAAAAATGGGAGAAAAGTGTCAAATAAAAAAATTGTTGCATTTGTAATTGGTGAATTTTAGTTGCAAGACTAGCAGTTTTTTTAATTTAATTAACCTCGTACTTATTGTACAAAGGGTAGGTCTATTTTCTTACAACTTTTGATATAAGGATACATTCTGACTTTAAAAGGTAAAATTATTATTAAGGTTTTATGTTCCAATTAAAAAAAAACTTGTGTAGGTATGCGATATTTCCCATAAATTTGGTAAATTTTACTTGTTACCAACTACTACTAAAGTTAATATTCAATAAATTAGATAAAAACAATTTCCATGGTAACAGTGATATAATTTCAGTTAGTCATCTCCTTTTTGTAAAATCATAACTTTTGATATTTTTTAATATCCAATTTATGATAAAGACATCAATGTTAAAATAACTTCTGGCGAAATCAAAAAAATATCTGCATCACGTATTTTTATTTATCATAATTCCATACAATGTCGCGATATCACGTTTCTATTTCGGTAATGCCATAAATTAATACCACTCTCAACAAAATAGTTAATTTGACAAATATTAGTAAGCATTCATGATTAAATCTAGTAATGATGTGTCCAATTTACATACAATGTTGTGACGTGTCATTTGGTGTGGTTTTGCAGTCATCACAAAAGCAAATCCTTTTTTAGCCAGCCATCTTGGAATATGACGTTCTTATCTGAGTGGGGTTAAGTACTTCAAGATAAATCAAACACATCATGGCAACTCTAACACATGGCCTGCAATCGTGGTGTGCCATGGAATTTTAATCATACGAGCGTAAGCAACAACAAAAACGCACAGCTGTTCGGTGTAAGGGGAGAGAGAGAGTATTCAATTTGAATGCGACAGCCATATTGCATATGAATGTGAAAACAAAAACAAAACTGAGTGCAGAGTGCAACAATTGTTGTTTTTTTGATGAGTAGCAATTAAATGAAGATTTCATTTCGATTTTCTTTTAAACGTGCCGATTTGCGGAATTATCAATCGAGCAAGTTCCCTTCATAGGCGACATATTGTTTTTGTGTAGAAACAAGTAGTGATAAGAAAATTGTAGAAACTATTGTTTTGTGGTATATCCCCACAATCTAAGCGAGAGAGCGAACGACAACAATTGAGAGACAAAGAGATTATTCGCTGTCAAAGACAACAATATTGGTGTGGGGCTGTGTTTGTATCGTCGCCATCGTTGCTTTGCCTGCCTGCTATGTTTGGCATATTTAAAAGTGTTTAACACCGCCTCAGTATCGAACAGTTCACATTTGTGTACGCTCAGTAGCAAAACAACAAAGAAGAAAGAAAGAAATAATTCCAACCTCATACGGGAGACATAAAAGCAAAAAGACAGATTTCAATTGTCAAAGGTACATCAAATTAAATCAACTCAATTACTTCGGTCGCCTTCTATACCAGTGCGTATAAAGGTTTTTGACAGTTTTCACAACGAAAGAAAACAACAACTAAACGGAACATCAAAAAAACAGTAATCTGTCTACATAACGTGTGAAGTTGACTTCCATTGTGAGACGACCTACTACAAAATTTCTCCGTTTCGTATTTAATTGTGGAACAATTGACCAAATCAATTCATTTTCTTTTGTGCATCTAGCAAAGTGAGACATTCTAGAGGACTCTTCGAAACGATTTTGTGAAAAATAAACATAAAATTTATACCAAAATTTTAACTGTGATTTTGAAAAAGACACATCAACAACAACAAAGCAACATGATGAAATTCTTGGTTGGATTCTGCGTCTTGGCCGTGGTGGCCCCAGCTGTCTTTGGCGAACTTAAATGTAAGTACCAATTAATTGATTCTAATTTTAATTCTAAACAAAGTGTTTTAAATTCAGCGAAAGGAAGGGAAACATTTGCCTTGAAGTGCGCATTTTATTTATTGAGGAAATTTATTCTTTAGTCAAATGGCATACATACAGAATATAACCGAGAAAAAATTGTGTAAACAAGACAAAGAGCTCTGAGCATAATTAAGTTGGTTTCTCATTTTCTGTTTTGCTTGCTCTCTGTTTTTATAAAATATAAAGTTAAATTTCTGTTAAGTCATGGTCCTAGGTCTGTTAACATTGTTTTGCTGTCAAACTCATTAATTTGCGTTTTTGCTTGACCTAGAGTTTATTTGCTTTCTTTTTGTTGTTTTTTTTTTTTTTTTTTGCTGAAACCGGTATTTTATTGCCAAACAAACAACAAATGTCATCGAGTTATTATTTGGTTAGGTAAAAACTTGTTTGGCCCCCGTTATAATTATTGATTATTTTTGCATAACAATTTTTATCGCTTCCATTTTAGTTCCATTTTCTTATAAGATTTTCATAACAAATCAATATTGGGGCAGAAAGTGAAAGTCTAAAACAGAGATAAACAAATATAACAAAATGTTGGGAGAATTACATTGTTTTGTAATGTTATTTGTCATTGTCTTTTTACATTGGGAGATTTTCATTAATTCATAACTTAACATTGCTTATAGCAGAACATTTTACTTTTTCCCTTAACATTTTACAGCTTTACAGTGGAAGTTTAAGTTACTGGTAAATTACTGATGTGGAATATAACATTTCTCTGTTATTATAGATATTTCATGTTATCTGCTATTACTCTGTAAAAATATAATGTAAAATGAGTTGTAAAAAGATTTTCTCCTCTCTCTCTCTCTCTCCCTATGGAACATCTGTTATTTATTTTGCACACAGCCCCAATGTTGTTGTTTGCTTTTTTTCTTTCGTTCTTTTTGTTTATGCCTACTTCCTATTCATTATATTTTTGTTATTGGCAATATTTTTGAAGTCGAACTTTGGAACAAATCCAACAGCATAATCTACTGGAACAATGCGTCATGGATTATGTAAACGTAATTACATTATTTTGAATTTTCTTGGTAGACCATGGTAGCATATATATATTCTTGATCAAAATGAAATTCTATGTCGATTGGAAATCGCTCTAGCTTCCGAACGAAATGAAGTAGGTTGATAAAATTTTACTCAAAAATGTATTATGTCTGCAGGACTTTTGGTATTGAAAATGGGTTGAAAATGGTATTGAAAATGTAGGTCCACGTTTTGGTATAGTCCCCATATAATGGTACCTCCCTTTTTCGGAATTTTCGTGATTTAAGCGACATTATTCACCGGAATTGTTTCAAATTTGGTATTTGTAGTTCGTAATGGGTACTACAGCCTATGACAGAAAATTGTCTATGCAAGTCAATGTCTTCGTATAGCCCCCATATAAGGGTACCCCCCGGTATTCGGTATTTTGATGATTTTAGCGACATTATTCACCGGAATTATTTCAAATTTAGTGTTTCAAGTTCGTAATAATACATCTAAGAACCCCTTCTGGAATACCATTCCTTCACCTCTTTATTTTCCGACAATAATAATTCAAGCGCTATGCAACCGTTCCTCTGAGGCGAAAAGTTCCTCTACCCAAATACTTAAAATTTGTGAATTTCCCTTTATTCTTTGCTTATGTCTGGTTTCCGGTTCCCAATATTCCGATAAATATTAAATTTCAAAAAATTTTTATTTTTCACGCACTTACAAGAATAACTATAGTCAGAGTTTTTGTTTCCCTTTGTTTGTTGTTTACTCTGTGTTCTTCTTGCAAGAATAACCGTCGTTTATACTTTATGTTTATTTCAACTATTTTTAATTCACCAATATTGATTGAGATTGATCTATATTGCCTCCATTTGAAATTATTTATCCCCTTAGATAAAAAATTCAATAGAATTTCATTAAAAAATCTTAAGAAATCCCCCTCTGTATAAGGCTGCATAATTTGACCTCGTGTTCTTTTAGAAATCTCATTGCATCATTGTCACAATAAAAACACTTCTCCCCAATGCGTGTTTTGCACACGGCTTTATGTATGAGGGTTGATCTTGATCAAACCAAGCCGTGATTACGATTCTCTCAACTCCCACATGAGTGTTGTATTATTTTCGAGAGAATTGAAGACTCTCTTTGCATTGGAATTGCTTTTGCACACGGCTAGAGATTTCATTTTTGTTGCCTCAGCGGAAAAAAGAATCTAGGAAAAAAACGAGTGAAAAAAAAACAAAACCACATGGCTGGTCTATGGTGACAAAGAATAATAATACCAAAGTAAAGTACACAACAAAGCCTCAATGTAATTTTTTTACTATTCGCAGTAGACGACACATTATAAATAAAAGAGACAACCAAATACTACTCCCCATTGGGTATTGTACCCAATTTCAATGGTTTTCTTTGTTGTGGAAAATGATTCAAATGGATATTTTCTCATATTGTGCGATAGGCATATATGGGCACAATACTCATATTTATTTCCCTTGGAAATCATTTCTTATAAATCACAATTTTATTAATTAAATGGGCCTATATTAGTATTTCTAAATCCCATATTTGTTGTATGACTAATGAAGACATTTTTGCAATTTGAAGCCCTGAAATTTAATTGAAATTTTTTTATATTTTAATATAATTTTCCCTCCATACTTTTCATAACTGTTACTTTTGTTCATCAGATCTTAAGTACACGTGTACTTCCAACCAATCTTTCAACCAAAACACGAGACCAAGTCTTTCCCAAGATTTTGTTTTTTTTTTTCCTCTCCCCCTCTTGACTTTCTCTCTTTTCCCAATGAATTTTGCACACGACTTTTGTTTGTTTTTATAAACAAATAGTTTAAAATTCTAACGAAGCAACAACAAATTTAACGGCATAAACAAAAAGCTAACTAGACAAAATCACCGCAGCCATGATGTAGATTTGTTGTTGTGATTTGTTGTCTAGCATATCAGCCAAAACAAAACGGCTGATAACAATTCTCGTGGATGTTATGAAATTTATGTAGAGGGTAATTACTACCACTAAATTGCAAAATATAATTTCCAAATTACACTAACAAAAAAGGCACAAATTGAATAGGGAAATATTTTCGTGCAATTTGCAAAAATATCGACGTACTCATTAGGAAATCTATTTCACTATATGACGTCTCTATTTCAAATTCCCATGGGCACATGTTTAGAAATTTTCTAAGATCTTGAAATTGCTATAAACAAAAACCCTCCCCCTTTTGTCTATTTCTACGATTCCGATAAATTCCCATAGAAAAAAAACCACCCCTCTTGACATTTTCTAAGTTCTTCCTTTACCAAGATCATTGATTTGTCATCCCCTACGATTTGCTCTAATTGTCGTCTTTTATTGTTTTCTTTAATTAGCCTATAGCAAAGCTTTACACCACGTACAATTTCTTATTGATCTTTTCTCCCAGCAGCTGACAATGGGAACAGTCCGATCTTTTAAAGGCAGAATACAATTGAATGTGAAATCATTATAACATCAAATTGTGAAATTAAATGAGAGCTCTTCCCGGGGTAGTAGCATGTTCTTTTGTCCCATCACAGTTGGGATTATAATTTGCAGTTTTAAATGACGTCAGTTTCCTTTAAGATTGTGAAAATCTTAAAAATGAAATTTACCTATTTAAAAATTTCAGCATATTTTTGATGCCCTCTTGGCAACAATTAACAATTTGTATGGTCACTTATTTCCTATGAATGAAGAAGGGGAGGACAACTTTTCTATACGCACATCAAATTCTATAGTTAGCACATTTTATAACAATTTTTAAATTTGGTGTTTTTGAATAGAAACAAGAATGAATTTAGAAAGAGAATTAAAAAGAAAAAAATTATAAACGAAAGAATACCTTAGATTTTGAAATTCAAGTAAATAAAATTTTTAATAAGAAATGCTTTGTTTTTTCTTTTTTGGATTTAAAACACTTGTTGTTTTTTATTTCATTTTTTAAATTCATTTTTTACATAATATATACTTTTTTATTTATTTCTTATTACAATTAGGTTCCGTGCCAAATCCCGAAATCCCTACCGAATGGATTGATTTGCGCGGTGACTGTTTGACAGCCATGCGTAATCAAATCCAAAAGGAAATTGATGCTTCCTATCAATACTTGGCCATGGGTGCTCACTTCTCTCGTGACACCGTCAATCGTCCCGGTTTCGCTGAATTGTTCTTCAAGGCTGCCAAGGAGGAACGTGAACATGGCTCCAAATTGATTGAATACTTGACCATGCGTGGTCAATTGACCGACCGTGTTACCGACTTGATCACCATTCCCGTAAGTAGACACTTTTTAACACAAAATACAGAAATTGTAAATTTCATTTTTTGCTAATTTACTATTTTTATTTTGTTTCCCTTCAGACTGTCTCCAAGGACGAATGGGCTAGCGGTGCTGAAGCTTTGGAGGATGCCCTCAAATTGGAAACCGATGTCACCAAGTCCATTCGCAAATTGATTGCCACCTGTGAAAAGAAACCCAACTTCTATCATTTGGTTGACTACTTGACCGGTGTCTATTTGGAAGAACAATTGCACGGACAACGTGAATTGGCCGGTAAATTGACCACCCTCAAGAAGATGATGACCAACCATGGTGCTTTGGGTGAATTCTTGTTCGACAAGGATTTGTAAATTATTTCCAACTAAAAGTAAATGTGATGGAAGGCGCAATCAACATACATACATCTTAACAGCCATGAGATTTTTTTGTTTTTTTAAATTTCACACAAGAAAAAAAAACATTTATTAAATTATATATTGTCCAAACATTCTATAGCTGTGCTTTTCAATTACTAAACAAAATCATGTGTTAAAACATATTTAATTAGAAATACAAATAGTATTGTTTATTGCTTTAAAACAAACAAAAATTAGTAGAAAAAAATACACACCTTTGTTTTCTTTATTCAATAAAAATAATCCATACCGGTATTGGCTTTATCTAAAAGCAGTTTCAGTTTCTTTTTGGCCTTCAATTTTTCATATAAATTAATTTTCCTTTGCATTTAATCTATCATTACTTTTGTATTCAACATATTTTATTGGTTGGCTTTTGGATGCTTATCTTTAACCGAAGCAAATGCTGTTCTAGCCAACCACCACCACCACTCCATGAAAAAGGTCTTCGTTAATTTTGTGATGATTTATTTAATTATTAATAAGTTTTCGTTTTTTATCATTTCGCTTGAAATACTACTGCCAGCGGCAGCCATTATAAATTTAAGTAAATCATAAATTTCCAACAAAAATAAATCATATTTAAATTGAAAGAATCGCATTGTCTACACAAATAATATATGAGGTAATGATTTTAGTTTTAGAAAATACATACTTATAGTAATGTATGTTATTAATAATATTATTATTTTATTCGTCAATTATGCCACAATAAATAAATGAATTAACTTAAATAAACAATTGTTTGTCTTATGGGGGATTAAACGATGCAAAAAAAGGTGATTATTCCCAGGCTGTTGCAATATAACAAAATTAAAATGTCTTATAAATTTCAATTTTGTTATAAGCCTTGGTGATAATAACGCCAACATTGAAGAGAGAGAGAATGTTACTAATTTGGTTAGAATGTGGAACAACTAAGAATAACCTTAAAATTGGCAATTGAATTGTATTTTTTTTGATGATTTTTTAAATTTTTTTTTAGAACTGAATGGAACCAAATTAGAAGAACGCTTAATCAAAGGCAAAATTAAAAGTTGAACTTTAAGCTAGCCATACTATAAAGTTGAACGACATGACACTGCTTTTAAAAAGGCTCTATATTAAATGTTGCTCAAAATATTCGGGCCCCTTTTTGTATAATTGAGGTTATATTAAGGCCCTAAAAATTTGCTTGTCAACTCAAAATTTTTGGGGTTTTGTATTACAAACTTAATATATTAAATGCTGTGAATTCAGAAATTGTGCTAAATTAAAAAAAAAAAAAAATAAAAATTATACCCTCATGGTTTTTACTTTTTTTTTAATTTTTATTGAATGAAAGCCAACAAAATGTCGGAAATAGCATCGAATTATAGAATAAGTTTAGATTTGATCGAATTGGTCACCTTTGTTGCTCTGCGGTATTTTGCCGACGAAGCGCTTGCTTGAGGAGATCGACAATTTGGTGTTTGTAGTGCCAACCTTGCTTTCCAAAATACTCCAGACATAATAGCCCGACGGATTGGTATCCGGAGATTTTGGTGGCCATTGTGCGCTGGAAATGAAGCGAGGAACCTCATTTTGTAACCATTCTCGTTTGGCGCGTGCTGAGTGCGATTAAGCTGAGTTCTGTTGGAATGTCCAAAATGATTGCGTGCCCATGGCTTTAATACACCTTTCAGAATATTTTCGCGATAATATTTGGCATTAATTCTGATGCCACGGTCGATTTATACGAGTGGAGAGCTACCATCGGCTGTTATGGCGGCACACACCATCACCATGACCGGCTCCAGAGTTCTGGTAGCCAACCGAAGATGCACATATTCAGCTGACCTCTTTGGCAAGTAAATTCGATCAATTTGTTTGTTTACAAATTCGGCAGTTCACCACTTTTGGCCAAGCGAAACAACTCTTTAGTTCTTTTGGGTCTATTTTCTTTCTGTTGCGGTGTAAGTTCTTGCACTTTTTGAAATTTCAATGGCTTTATCCCGAGCTCATTTTTCAGCATTTACCGAATGGAATATTGCGATATGTTTAGCTCATTAATAAATGAATGAATTCAGAAATTGTGCTAAATTAAAAAAAAAATAAACATTATACCCTCAGCCATATGGCCATGATTTTTACTTTTTTTAAATTTTATTGAATTGCCCTGCGGTATTTTGGTCCATAGCCAGCGAAGCGCTTACTTGAGGAGATCGACAATTTGGTATTTGTAGTGCCAACCTTGCTTTCTAAAATACTCCAGACATGATAGCCCAACGAATGAGGTTCCTTGCTTCATTTCCAGTGCACAATGGCCAGCAAAACCTCCGGATACCAATCCGTTGGACTATTGTGTCTGGAGTATTTTGGAAACCAAGGTTGGCACTAAAAAATATCAAAGTGTCGATCACCTCAAGCAAGCGCTTCGCCGGGAATGGACCAAAATACCGCAGAGCAACATTCGGGCAGCGTGTGACAGTTTCATTGGCCATTCGAAGGCCATTATTCGTGCCAAAGGTGACCAATTCGAACAAATCTAAACTTATTCTAAAACTTGATGCTATATCCGACATTTTTTGCTTTCATTCAATAAAATTAAAAAAAATATATATAAAAATTATTTCGTTTGACATTGTTGCAGTTTTTTAGCTCACCCTGTGTAAATAAGTCCAAAAAGTTTAAAAATTGTGTAATGATAGCTAAAGAATTTATTGGTTTATTGGAAGTTTTTTATTTTTTGAATCCGGTAGAAAACTATATGACAAAAATATTCAGTTTTTTACTGTTCCGGGACCAACTAACGTCACCCTCTTTAAGGACAACCAATTTGGCTATAATTTTTGTATTCTATGTGTACCTCTTTCTCCTAAATGTCTCTCCCTTTGATTCTTTGAATAAAAGCTTTTTGTCACAATCTATTAGAACTATGATATTTTGTAGTTTCATTTAAGAGTCGAGATATTTAAAAACTTCTTTTAATAAAGCATGATATGAAACGCAGCATTTCCTTGACGATAAAAAAAAAACTCCGACAAAAAATAGCCACAACAAATTATTGTTGCAAATAAATCTTTCCAGCTTTGATATCATCAAAAGAAAAACGAAGCAAAAAAATTGCTTTTTTCATGGATATGCAACTTTTATAGTATTCTTGTCTGGTAGAAGTTAATGGCGGCGAATATTTATCTGTCTATCTGTGATGCGCGCAATGTTATGCATAACACAACAAACGTGTTGAAAATACCATGAAATTGTGAATATTTGGGATGCCGGTTTTTTGTAGTCTTTTAGGATTCTCTTTTGGCTACATCGACCACATAACGTTTTCCTACTCTCGCTGTAATATAGGGTGTTAAATTTACGAGCAATTGTTGTGATGTATTCAAGATTAATGATCCAAATGTCAACTGTCAAATGTCGCCATAAACCAAGTCGTTGAAATCCTGTACAAAAAAAAAAAACGTTGCAGGACAATCACTTGTCAAAACAACAGTTTAAATAACAGTTTTTGGTTGATGTGCCGCCGGTCCACACTTTGACAAACTAAAATAAATTGTAGTTTTTGCCGTTGTTTTTTTTATTCGGTGGGCGATGTTATGTTGTTTTGACCTCCCGAATGCATGTTATGTTGCATTAAGGGGTTAAAGGTTGTATTTGTAAATGTATAGAAATTATATATACATATGTATACACCATACTCATTAATATGTATGATGACGAATGTAAAAAATGAGGTTTCAGAAAACCTCATTTTTTGACGAATTCATTCAGTTTCGTTCCAGTATGATTACATTTAGTTGAAAGGCATGTAAGTCCATTCAGATTCGATAAAAAATTCTTAGACAATCTACGGAGATTTGTCCGGAAATACATGAAAAAAAAAATTTAAGAATCATAGTCACTACCAAAATATTGAACCAGTAAAGAAAGTCTTAAAGTCGGGCGGGGCCGACTTTATGATACCTTACACCACTTTGCTAATTTAGTAGAGCTGCGCATAACAATTAAAACTTGTTATGGGAGAATTCAACCATACACGCTATGATTATAATTATAAGTTAAAGTTCAAAGGACTAAATAAGCCGAAGCATTTGTATCTTTTAAATTCGGACTTGTATTGCCCATTTGGTGCACAATTAATTTAAAATCGGATAAAATATATATGGGAGCTATATCCAAATCGGAACCGATCTCGATAAAATTTGGCAAAGATATTTCTGAGCTGTATTTGATATATTTCCCTGAATATCGTTGTTACGGAGTGCATATTACGGCTGCGGAGGACAAAAATAACAAATCGGATGAACAGTATATATGGGAGCTATAGGTATATCTGAACCGATCTTCACCAAATTTGACATACTAGCTTCTAGACTCAATTCGGTCGTAAGTGCCAAATTTCATCCAATTTGAGCAAATATCAGACGTTTGGTGCACAATCAAAAATAAATCGGACGAAGTTATATATGGAAGCTATATCCAACTCTGAACCGATCTCGATCAAATTTAGCAAATGTATTTCTGAGCTGTATTTGATATATTTCCCCAAATATTGTTGTTACAGAGTGCATATTACGGCTGCGGAGGACAAAAATAACAAATCGGTTGAACAATTTATATGGGAGCTATAGCTATATCTGAACCGATTTCGATCAAATATGGCATACTTATTTTCAGATCCAATCTGATCGTACGTGCAAAATTCCATACTATTCGGACTGATATTACACGTTTGGTGTACAATAAAAGACAAATCGGACGAAGATATATATGGGAGCTATATCTAAATTTTGACCGATTATCTCCAATTTCAATAGGGTTCGTCCTGGGACCAAACAAATGATTTGTGCAGAATTTCGTCTGGATAGGGCATTAAATGCGAACTGACAGACGGACAGACGGGCGGACATGCATAAATCGACTCAGAATGTGATTCTATGCAGATCATCAAAAGGAACTATGGGTCTATCTCGTTTCCTTTTGCCTGTTACAAACAAATGCACAAAGACATAATACCCTGACCACCTTGTGGCGTAGGGTATAAAAATCGTCTAAATTTTGATCTAAATCTTAAACTTATTAAAAATTTTAGATTTTTGTCAAAAAAAAATTGTGGCAAATATTCCAAATATTCGTCAATTTGTTTTAAAGTTTGGTCAACGGCCAGACGATACAGATGACGTTAGAATCTGTAAATTTTAGATGAGGGTCAATCTTGGGCCTGATGTATCATATAAGAC